AACAACCGTGGACCTCTGATGTTCATACAGTGTTCTCTCATTGTGCCTATGGCACCTCTGCTCTTCACTGGTTCTATTCTGCATTTTCTTCCATGTAGCATATAGCAACTATTTAGCCATTTCGGGCCATTGGGCTGAAACTTTAGCACACTGTAGATTCAAAATCGGCAATTTCTCAACTCTAAATAAATTCGATAATATGTTATATTTGAGTGTATAGTTAGTCAGAGAATATTTAAGATGTTTTAAGGATGTGAGGAATATTTTGGTATGTTTTGAATTTTGAATTTGAATTTGTTTTGGACAGGTTGGTAATTAATTGATTTAGAGCAGGTGGGTGAGGCATTTACCCACCTGTCCTTACCCAACCCGTCCTCACACTAGGGTGGTTAAAGCAGCGGCCGTCCTCCCCAGACGCATTCATCCATTTTAACATACTGTATATTAAAAATTGGTTTGTTTTCATATATAAATTAATATTATTATACATTTATAAGTGAAAATACAGGAATACAGACCAAATACAAGCCAAAAGTAATTACATGCAGCCGCTAAACTCCCTGTTTATGAAAGAAAAACTGTTTATACACGACTTACAACTGATGACGTTCGAACGTTTCTCGAACAGTGCTTCGCTGATGATGACCTCTGTTCGAATCGCTTCACTGTAAATGCTTCACCCACGTACTACACCCACCAATAATCGCCAACAGAACCTAAACACCGAACCTAACCTAACCTAACCTAACCTAACCTACGCCTAACCTAACCTAACCTAACCTAACCTACGCCTAACCTAACCTAACCTAACCTAACCTACGCCTAAATATGCACAATAAGCTAATATATAATAATTCCGTTCACCTGGGTTCTAGGAGACTCGAACCACGGACCCAACGCATGAGAGGTAGAGACATGTAGCTACTCAGCTGTGAAGTGACCGTAATAAGGAAAGATTCCATAGCAGCAATATAGTTGCGTCTGGAATCTTTCCTTATTAAAACAATTCACAGCTGAGCGAGTTTTTCTCTAAGTTTCATTAGAGAAAAAAATCATATTTCCAAAGTACAGTGTGTAAAAAAAAAAAACCGAAGAATGAGTCTTTGGGGTCGGCCGCTGGGTGGAATGAACGATTTTAATGGGAAATACCCCATAATGAACTTATAAATCATATAGGAAAAGCATGACGATACAACTCACATTATCCAGTCCCTCCTCCACCCCCCCCGCACCCATCCCATTTCCTTTCCGTTGCTGGAAAAGGAGTCATAATAGCTCCCGTCACTCAACATTTTACAGCGAAATGGAAAAGGTGATGTTCTTATATATATACTCTGGGAGATGAAGGAGGAGGAGAGGAACATGCAAATTCTAGTTGAATTCCGTTCAAAGGATTCTGAATGCATTGCGTACGAAAACACACACACACACACACACACACACACACACACACACACACACACACACACACACACACACACACACACACACACACACACACACACACACACACACACACACACACACACACACACACACACACACACACACACACACACACACACACACACACACACACACACACACACACACACACACACACACACACACACACACACACACACACACACATACACACACACACACACACACACACACACACACACACACACACATACACACACACACACATACACGCACACTTTTGGATTTATTTAGATATGCAGAGACGGTGTTGAGGGAGGAATGTTGGATAAGGTGTGTATATGAAGGAGTGTTGGGTATAAGGCACGTGAAGGGCACCCCATGCCCAGTCGTGGGTATACTAATACCTCACGGCTGGGCATGAGTGAACACCTCTGCAGCCTGCTGGGTGCTGGGAATCACAGCGCCTATTCATCATAGCGGTCTGGGACAATTTCGAACAACTCTCAGTCTCGATACAGGATTTATGCATTCAGAAGAATTAATTGGTTGGTACAGTGCACTGAAGGGGTAGGTGTGCGTGTGTACTTACCTAGTTGTACTTACCTAGTTGTGGTTGCGGGGGATGAGCTCTGGTTCATTGGTCCCGCCTCTCAACTGTCAATCAATTGGTGTACAGATTCCTGAGCCTAATGGGCTCTATCATATCTACATTTGAAACTGTGTATGAAGTCTGCCTCCACCACATCACTTCCTAATGAATTCCATTAATTCCGTGTGTGTGTGTGTGTGTACTCACCAAGTTGAACTCATCTAGTTGTGCTTGAGGGGGTTGGTCCCGCCTCTCAACCGTCAATCAACAGGTGTATAGGTTCCTGAACCTATTGGGCTCTATCATATCTACACTTTAAACTGGGTGTGGAGTCAGCCTCCACCACATCACTTCCTAGTGCATTCCATTTGTCAACTACTCTGACACTAAACAAAATTTTAATGTCTTTATGGCTCACTTAGACACTCAATTTCCACCTGTGTCCCCTTAGTAGGTGTGCTCCTATTGTTAAGTAAACTGTTATTGTTTACCCTATTAATTCCTTTGAGAATCTTGTATGTGGCGATCATGTCCCCCCCCCTAACTCTCCTGTCTACCAGATACGTAAGGTTTAATTCTCGTAGTCTTTCCTCATAGCTCATGCCCCCCCCCCCAGTTCGGGCATTAGTCTGGTGGCCAACTTCTGAGCCTTCTTCAATTCTTATGCTTGACGAGATATGGACTCCATGCTGGAGCTGCATACTCCAGGATTGGTCTGACATACGTGGTATACAAGGTTCTGAATGATTCCTTACACAAGTTTCTAAAGGCCGTTCATATGTTGGCCAACCTGACATATGCCGCTGAGGTTATTCTCTTGATGTGGGCTTCAGGGGACAGGTCTGGCGTGATATTAACCCCCAGGTCTTTCTCTCTCTCTCTCTGATTCTTGACGAATTTCATCTCCCAAATGATACCTTGTATCTGGCCTCTTGCTCCCTACACATATCATCATTACATTACATTTGCTCAGGTTAAGCTCTAACAATCATTTGTTGGACCATTTTTTCAGTTTGTCCAGGTCTTCTTCAAGCCTCATGCTGTCCTCAGTATTAATCCTTCTCATAATTTTGGCATTATCAGCAAAAATTGAGAGGAATGAGTCTATACCCTCTGGGAGATCATGTACGTATATCAGAAACAGGATAGGTTCGAGTACAGTACCCTGTGGGACTCCACTTGTGATTTCACGCCATTCTGAGGTCTCACCCCCTCATAGTAACTCTCTGCTTCCTATTGCTTAGGTACTCCCTTATCCACTGGAGCACCTTACCAGTTACTCCTGCCTGTTTCTCTAGCTTATGCATCAGCCTCTTATGGGGGGGACTGTGTCAAAGAATGCCAGAGAAAAGGCTTCATCACAACAGAGTTGTCATCTATGAGTCTATGTAAAATTCCCCCCAGTATGATTCTTCGTTTCTCCTCTGCCAATCCCAGTCAGGAAAAACAAAGTAACAATTACGTGACTTTTCAATGTCTCCCTTAAAAAGTTCCTTGGGAGGGACAATTTTTTTTTTTTTAAGTTTTCCGGGTAAAAGATTTCAGAGTAAAAATTTTATGGGTAAAACTTTTCTGGGTAAATCTTTTCTGGGTAAATCTTTTCTGGGTTAAAGTTTTCTGGTCATCCAAACAGGGTCATTCAGTTATTGTTATTCATCCCACGTAAACCTCAGGTGACATTCCGGATACACAGCTTGCCATAGTCACGGCTTGGAATATATATATATATATATATATATATATATATATATATATATATATATATATATATATATATATATATGATTCAAAAATTGTTTTTCGACTACCTAACCTACCTAACCTAACCTAACCTAACTTTTTCGGCTACCTAACCTAACCTAACCTATAAAGATAGGTTAGGTAGGGTTGGTTAGGTTCGGTCATATATCTACGTTAATTTTAACTCCAATAAAAGAAAAATGACCTCATACATAATGAAATGGGTAGCTTTATCATTTCATAAGAAAAAAAATAGAGAAAATATATTAATTCAGGAAAACTTGGCTTATTAGGCAAATCGGGCCTTGCATAGTAGGCCGAGAAGTGCGTTCTGGCTACTAGGTACGACATATATATATATATATATATATATATATATATATATATATATATATATATATATATATATGTGTGTGTGTGTGTGTGTGTGTGTGTGTGTGTGTGTGTGTGTGTGTGTGTGTGTGTGTGTGTGTGTGTGTGCGTGTGTGCGTGCGTGCGTATGTGTGATACCTATTATTCCAGAGCCGCACTACTTGGCCTAGTATGCAAAGCACGATTTGCCTAACAGAGTGATTTCGTTATTTTCAAATATTTCTTTCCAAATTGGTTTATTCCAATTAACAATATATTATACTGCATTAAGAACATAAATTACTAATTTATTTAGGCTAAGATAAGTTAGGGTAGATCTAATCAAATTTCTACGTTAGTTCTAACTGAAATAAAGATAAATCAAATCATTTATAATATAAAAGAAACTTCCTCCATTCCACAAGAACAAAAAATTGGAAAATATAATAATTTCAGGAAAATTCGACTTGTTAAGCCACTTTAATTAATATGTACGACAAACATGTAATTAGATCACACGCCACAAACACGACATAACTTCGCAGGAAGTTATGTCAATGGAAATGGAAAATGGAAAGTTATGCCAATAGAAAATAATCCACTAACAAGGCAAGAAACCCACAATATACGTCACCCAGAACACTGCACTCCAAGAAAGGAGAAAACCTCCCCCAATTACCAGATAATTCCAGCTACCAAACACCTGAGAGATGAAGGAGATTATGATGAAGCAATTAGCAGGTGTTATTACCCCGGAACAATTACCATGAGCAATTAGCTCACACAGAGGGAGGAAACTGTTGAAGGTGGGAATAAAGCCCCTAACATCTGCACTCTGCAGATCACCCTAACATCTGCACATCACCCTAACATCTGCACTCTGCAGATGTTGATGACTTGCTTGACCATCACTCGTTCAACACGGGCGAGACCTGCTAGGAGAAAGTGTTATGATCAGAGCACAGAAACTCCCAGTGGAGCACAGAGCCCCAAACAGAGCACAGTGGCCCCCCAGCAGAGCATAGAGACCCCCCAACAGAGCACAGAGGCCTTCCAACAGAGCACAGAAGCCTCCCAACAGAGAACAGAGGCCCCCAACAGAGCACAGATACCCCCAACAGAGCACAGAGGCCCCCAACAGAGCTCACAGATCCCCCAACAGAGAACAGTGGCACCCAACAGAGCTCACAGATCCCAACAGAGCTCACAGATCCCCAACAGAGCACAGATACCTCCAACAGAGCCCCAAACAGAGCACAGTGGCTCCCCAACAGAGCACAGAGGCCCCCCAACAGAGAACAGTCCCCCAACAGAGCTCACAGATCCCCAACAGAGCACAGAGGGCCCCCAACAGAGAACAGTTACCCCCAACAGAGCACAGAGAGCCCCAACAGAGAACAGAGGCCCCCAACAGAGAACACATAGGCCCCCAACAGAGCACATAGGCTCCCCAACAGAGCACAGAGGCCTCCCAACAGAGCACAGATACCACCCTCCAACAGAGCACAGAGCCCCAAACAGAGAACAGAGGCCCCCAACAGAGCTCACAGATCCCCAACAGAGCACAGAGGCCCCCAACAGAGCTCACAGATCCCCAACAGAGCACAGAGGCCCCCAACAGAGCTCACAGATCCCCAACAGAGAACAGAGGCCCCCAGCAAAAGAAGACTGTTCAGGTGCAGTGATCCATCACCTTTACTGGAGGCAGCTACGAGACGCACAGACTGCCGAGGCTAGTTCCTCCTTCCCTCTGCCTCTAGAGACAGCTGGTTAAGCCCACCCTGTGATTGGTTGGCTGGCTACCTTAGACGCAACCGTTTTGGCTACCTAGCTGGTTAAGCCCACCCTGTGATTGGTTGGCTGGCTACCTTAGACGCAACCGTTTTGGCTACCTAGCTGGTTAAGCCCACCCTGTGATTGGTTGGCTGGCTACCTTAGACGCAACCGTTTTGGCTACCTAGCTGGTTAAGCCCACCCTGTGATTGGTTGGCTGGCTTGGTTAGACGCAACCGTTTTGGCTACCTAGCTGGTTAAGCCCACCCTGTGATTGGTTGGCTGGCTACCTTAGACGCAACCGTTTTGGCTACCTAGCTGGTTAAGCCCACCCTGTGATTGGTTGGCTGGCTACCTTAGACGCAACCGTTTTGGCTACCTAGCTGGTTAAGCCCACCCTGTGATTGGTTGGCTGGCTACCTTAGACGCAACCGTTTTGGCTACCTAGTTGGTTAAAACACCCTGTGATTGGCTGGCTGGCTACCTTAGACGCAACCGTTTTGGCTACCTAGTTGGTTAAAACACCCTGTGATTGGCTGGCTGGCTACCTTAGACGCAACCGTTTTGGCTACCTAGTTGGTTAAAACACCCTGTGATTGGCTGGCTGGCCGATCGAGACACTGTGTTGACAAGGCTGATATGAAGATATTCTCAACCATAACAAATATGAAGATATACATTCTACACTGACACAGATGACTGACGGCATTAAGACATTCCACAGCGATAGACATCAGACAAATGTCTGTCGATGGACATTTTCCTACAGCTAAAAAATGGACATTTTCCTTTCCTAAATTTTCACCTTGGGAATTTTTCCTGTAGTCGTGTTTTCGATGTCAAATTCCAGCCAGATGCCGTGGATTCGTTTTTGTATCGTTTTAATGACCGCAAGACGACATTGATCCTGCAGACCATTACTGGCTGAGGAGCTCAATATCCCCAAAAGGTTTCGTTCCAGTTTTGCAAGAAAACCTGTTATATATATATGTTCACTAAGCTGGTTAGTCCCCCTATAGCTTGAAGACCAGAAATGACTGCATCTGAACGAAAGGGGGGATAACTTGTTCACTGTTTGCTGTCATCCTGATTACTGGCAGCTGTTGTCATCCTACCTCCCTCACCAGTCACCACACTGGCTCCAGGGGGGTAATTCTTTCATCCTACTTCCCACATCATTCACCACACTGGCTCCAGGGGGGTAATTCTTTCATCCTACTTCCCACATCACTCACCACACTGGCTCCAGGGGGTAATTCTTTCATCCTACTTCCCACATCACTCACCACACTGGCTCCAGGGGGGTAATTCTTTCATCCTACTTCCCACATCACTCACCACACTGGCTCCAGGGGGGTAATTCTTTCATCCTACTTCCCACATCACTCACCACACTGGCTCCAGGGGGGTAATTCTTTCATCCTACTTCCTACATCACTCACCACACTGGCTCCAGGGGGGTAATTCTTTCATCCTACTTCCCTCATCACTCACCACACTGGTTCCAGGGGGGTAATTCTTTCATCCTACTTCCCTCACCACTCACCACACTGGGACAATATCTGTCACTTGGCTTACGTATCACCAGAACAAAAGGTATTACCAATAGGGAAGACTGGCTCTCTCGTGCGTCCATAAAAATAAATCAGTTTTTTTTTGTCTTTCGTTAATTGGCTCACTTGTTATGCTAGTCAAGCTCCAAACTCAGTTATCGAAACACGCGCACGCACACACGCACATACACACACACACGCACACACACACACACACACACACACACACACACACACACACACACACACACACACACACACACACACACAGAGGCCCCTATTTTACTTAGGGGCCTCGTAGCCTGGTGGATAGCGCGCAGGACTCGTAATTCTGTGGCGCGGGTTCGATTCCCGCACGAGGCAGAAACAAATGGGCAAAGTTTCTTTCACCCTAAGTGCCCCTGTTACCTAGCAGTAAATAGGTACCTGGGAGTTAGTCAGCTGTAACGGGCTGCTTCCTGGGGTGTGTGGTGTGAAAAAAAAAAAAAAAAAAGTAGTTAGTAAACAGTTGATTGACATTTGAGAGGCGGGCCGAAAGAGCAAAGCTCAACCCCCGCAAAACACAACTAGTAAACACAGCTCGACACACAAGACAAGAGTAAGATGACCGCCCAAGATGCTCACGAAGAACTCTCTATAGACACCCAAAGAAGCGTCTTGAAAGAGACGAAAATTGTGTATACCTTTGCATCCTCACCTGTGGACTCTCAACTGTAACCTGCTAACTCTATTGGCACGGTGACATATCTTAATTTGTTTTATTTATATATATATATACAAGAGTTGTTACATTCTTGTACAGCCACTAGTACGCGTAGCGTTTCGGGCAGGTCCTTAATCCTATGGTCCCTGGAATACGACCCCCGCGAAGAATTGTTTTAACATCCATGTACCCATTTAACTGTTGAGTTAAACAGAGGCTACAGTTAAGGATTTGCGCCCAGTCAATCCTCCCCGGCCAGGATGCGAACCCATGACAAAGCGCTCGCGGAACGCCAGGCGAGCGTCTTACCACTACGCCACGGAGACCGTGGAGAGTGCGTCTAACGATGCGCTAGAAACAAGTCTTTAAAACAAGGATTACATATCCATCATTTCGACACGCAACCAGATCATCGCCAGAGATATATATACTATCCAGCAACACACTCACAAAAAAGAAATCGACAGATGCATAGTAGATTAGATATAGCTGAAGCACTAAATGTCAAACACTCTCATCCAAGTGTCAACCGCCAGCATATACACTTAGGCACTTCCTGTCATCTGCAAAAACATGCAAAACCAAGAAAGAATTGCAACGTCCAACCACACCTTGGGCCAGATTCACGAAGCAGTTACGCAAGCACTTACGAACCTGTACATCTTTTCTCAATCTTTGTTGGCTTTGTTTACAAAAATTAAACAGTTAATGAGCTCCGAAGCACCAGGAGGCTGTTTATAACAATAACAACAGTTGATTCTGAAATTTTTATTTTTGTAAACTGTTTAATAAATGTAACCAAAGTCGTCAAAAATTGAGGAAAGATGTACACATTCGTAAGTACTTGCGTTACTGCTTCGTGAATCTGGCCCCAGACCGCCGCCATGATTGATGGAAGTTACATGTGTAGCGTAAATGAGCAAGAAAATGCTTCTTAAATCCTCGAGTCTTGTGTTCGAGCGCCTTGTAAGGTAGGGGAGACCGGCGGGAAGGGGGGGGGGGAGGGGAGGGGGCAGGGGCTGGTATGTGTGTGTGTGAGTCCTTGTTTTGCGTAATATGTGGTGTTGCGTATCTGTAACATACGCAAACAAGTGAATATTTCAGAGCTGAAATCGATGTGTTCCATGTACGCAAGCTGAGAAGACATTCAAGACAATATTCTCTCTAAAACTGGTGCTCAGAGGGTAGGGAAGGGGAAGGGAATTATCAGGGGGGGGGAAAGCGCCAAGCCATTACGACTATATAGCACTTGGAAGGGGTCAGGATAAGGATTTGGGATGGGACGGGGGGAAGGAAATGGTGCCCTACCACTTGGATGGTCGGGGGATTGAACGCCGACCTACTTGAAGCGAGACCGTCGCTCTACCGTCCAGCCCAAGTGGTTGGGGGAGGGGGGAAGGGACTCAGAGAGTAGACCAAGACGCTTATAGAGGCATCTTGGTCAGAACAACGCCAGTGCTGCCATCTTCAGGGCAGAAATAAAGTATACAAAAATACTCACGATAAATGGTCACTGGATTTCGGGAAATGAGAAAGACAGCGGCAAAGATTTTAAGAATACTGGAAACTTTGAAGCTGACTGAAGCAAGTTTTTGGGGCCCCAGTTTTCTTTGGAAAAGATACCTCCAGGGACGAACTATCGTTCAAACTAAAAGGTCACGAGAGGTAACAGGACAGTACAGAAAAGTAAATATTTTTTGGATGAAACAATGAAGAGATAAATAATTGCCAGAGCATCATTGCTCTCACAACAAACCGCTGCCCAACTGAGATTTTTATTAAGGCTGTCTCGTTGTACAGTGGAGGAGCTACTGCCTCACACTCGTAGGGTCGATGATTCGAGTCTCCTATAGTGCCCAAGTGAATGATATATATATATATATATATATATATATATATATATATATATATATATATATATATATATATATATATATATATATATATATATATATATATGTAATTCTCTAGCGAGGGAGACTTGTCAAAGCAACTCGCCCAGTCAGCTGGACAGAGAAAGGAATTTGTCTTTATCACTGAGAGTGCAACAGAGTGCTGTGCATCCCCTAGTGTGTTGCAGGGTCCTGACCACAGTTCTCTGATGTAGGGCTCTTGGACGCTGATGTGGGGCTCTTGGACGCTGATGTGGGGCTCTTGGACACTGATGTGGGGCTCTTGGACGCTGATGTGGGGCTCTTGGACGCTGATGTAGGGCTCTTGGACACTGATGTGGGGTTCTTGGACACTGATGTGGGGCTCTTGGACACTGATGTAGAGCTCTTAGACACTGATGTGGGGCTCTTGGACACTGATGTGGGGCTCTTGGACGCTGATGTGGGGCTCTTGGAGACTGATGTGGGGCTCTTGGACACTGATGTAGGGCTCTTGGACACTGATGTGGGGCTCTTGGACACTGATGTAGGCTCTTGGACATTGACGTGGGGCTCTTGGACACTGATGTGGGGCTCTTGGACACTGATGTAGGGCTCTTGGACACTGATGTGGGGCTCTTGGACACTGATGTAGACTCTGGGACACTGATGTGGGGCTCTTGGATACTGATGTGGGGTCTTGGACACTGTTGTGGGCTCTTGGACACTGATGTAGGCTCTTGGACACTGATGTAGACTCTGGGACACTGATGTGGGGCTCTTGGATACTGATGTGGGGCTCTTCGACACTGATGTGGGGCTCTTGGACACTGATGTGGGGCTCTTGGACACTGATGTGGGGCTCTTGGACACT